TTGATTATACAGGTTACATAAGGTTACTTTCGAAAATAAGAGTTACCTTTAGCTTGCCAGATTTCAGAGGTTTGGTTGGAAAAGGATTTGACATGCATGCTCTCTCCTGCTCAGAACTGGCAGAGCAAACCTAATATCACAAGCATGCTGTGTGGCCTTATCCCTTTTTCGGTGGGGGAGAGGGGAATATTTTTTAAGATTCTCTTCCTATCCTGTGAATACACTTGATGAAGCAAAACCTGTAAAATATAGGTATATAACATTACTTGCAGATCTATACAGGCAATATGTGGCAAACATCAATATGTTGGCAAACATTGTTTGTTTTTCTTTTAAATACCCATGCTAATTTTGGAAAGTGTCTTTCATGCTTTGAATTTCAGATTTCGGATGGATTGGATTTATGTGTGGTTGAATTCATGATCACAAATGAAAGGCACCCATGGGATGAAAGTTGTAGAATTCTGACTTCTGAGTCATAGGGTCCATAATACATACTTACTTCTCACTGGGTGCATCTACACAAGATGTTTACCATGCAGTTGACTAATTAACTATGCAGTAAACATCTCAGCGTCTACACATGTGCCCTTACTGGGGTGCATGAAACTAATAAACTCCGGAGCATGATAGTCTTATAGGATAGGGACAGGAATTACACATAAACCAGTATAAGTGATCAAAAAACAGTTCAAATCTGTAACACAACAGAAGTCCGGTGCACATACTCTACTTTCAAAATGGTCAAAGCCGGTCTAAGATAAACCTGAATGGATGTAGTATCAGACTTAAGCAATTTAGGTTAAATTGGTTTATTGAACTTTTGACCCAGATCCCCTCCAGTTTCAAGTTAGCTCACAGTTCCCCAGCATCCCAGGATGCTTTGCGCCTTCCCCACAAACCCCTCTCACAGGGTAGGCAGGCTAGCCTTGGCCCAAGCTGTCTGCTCTAGCCCAGCAGGGAGGCATGCTGTAGCACCCTCCAGCTTCTGGCCTGGGCCACTGCAGGCATGGTGGCTGCATTTCTAGAATCAAAAGTGAGTGTCTGTTCTTTTGCTCATTGGTTAAATCTCTGCAGTTTAGATTAACCAGCGAAGAATTAACTCAGTCTCAGGCTTTTTGACTGTCTGCACTTAGCCATAAAATACAAGTAACTATTCTGCTGTGGAGTTTTTTCATGCACAGCAGTTCATGTGTAGATGTTGCTCTGGCTGACTAGGGCATGGAGTACTTCAGTGCAGAGCTAGCCAGCAGGCAGCCCCGGTGCTGAAGCACCCTCATGACTCAGCCAGCCCTGCCCCGCCTCCTCCTCACTGCCCTGCAGTGCACATGGAGCCCATTGGAGCAGCCCTGGGTTAGTTGCTAGGACAGGGCTCCACCTATTGTGGATGGGGGGGGGGGGGAACTGCCTAGAGCACAAGGGTGCTTCAGCATGAGGGCTGCCTCCAGCTAGCCCCACACTGAAGCACCCTCATGCCCCAATTGGGCCCTTCATAGCATATGGAGCCAGAGATGTGGGTTTTCCAGAAAAATGCCCTAAATAGAGTGTGATCTGATTAAGCATGTTTATTTGACTTATATTTAGTAAAAACACTAAAAAAGTACCCCCATGTTAATTTTATGTCCCAATAGCCACAAGTATTTGAACTGAAACATTTTATTAGGAAAAAAATTAAATACAGCACTCTTAATGTGGTTTAAATGTTATATTCAAACACAGTCAAAGTTTTATGTGGAAAGAAATTATTTTTGTTGGAATACTTGTAACAATTTAAAGACAATACACAATACCATGTACTTCCCTTACATTGTTCGTTTAAATTTACAGAAAAAAACGAAGGCACTAAAAACTGTTGACACTAATTTTAGCACACCCAAAGAACTGTGCATTATATGCCATGGTTATCCACTCATCTACTTCAATAGAGTTTAACTCTTTTCCACTGAGGTCACGGCGGCACCTCCAGTTTCACGGTCACTATGTGTAGAATTGCTTGCACTACTTGTTAGTTCCATTTCAGAATCGGATTGAGGGAATTCTGACTCAGAACTACTTGAACCACCTTCTCTTTCGCCAAAGGATGGTTTTACCAATGAATCTATGGGCAAGGGCAACTTATCACACTGCATCTTCTTCACTAATTGTGCTTCTGACTGATTCTCCAGAAGCAAGAGATTTTGATAAATAGAAACAAGCTTAGCGGTGCATTCATTTTTTAGTTTATTCCTTTTTTTGTCTTGATTGAGCTGAAAGCCTTCCAGTTCTGTTCACAAGAAGCTGCTGTTGGTGGAATGCTTAGGATCCTTACAGCAATCCTGGACAACACTTGGGTGGTATAGCATCCCTTCCACTTTGTGAGAGGAGACATCATCTGCCTGCCAAATGATGTCTTTGCTCCAAAGTTTTTCTTTCATATGGTACTTGGCAATGTCTGTCATCATGGCTATTTTGTTAATGTTGGGGACATTCTTAGCTACTTCCATAATTGTATCGAGAGCAGTAGATAATTCATCTTCTGATAAATATTGTCCTCTGTGTTGAGGATCCAAAAGGTTTGCTGCCAGATGAACTGGATGAAAGCAAAACTCAGCTCTCTTAGTAAACAGTTTTAATTCTTTTTTGGATAGAGGTGAAGGCAGCAAAAACTCAATTAGATTTTCATTCAGGTGTCTGAATATCTATGGACTATTTGAAAGGCTTGGTGTATCTCCTTCAAGTTTCTTGACAGCCACTGAAATTGGTAGTAGCAAATTAAATACTCCTTGAACTTGAACCCAGAACACGTTGTCAAGAACCTGCTTCCAAATGTGCATGGGAATAATCTGGGATATTGTGTCATCTATTGAAGCACACTGAAAACAGTTCTGTGTGCACAGCATACTGTGTAAACACTTTGTAGCCGAGCCCCATCTAGTTTCTCCTGGCAATAAAAGTACACTTTCCTCCCCCTGCTTCTCTTTCTATAATTTCTTCAAAGTCTGATTAGCAACATGATGATTGTTGACTACCTTCACAATCACTTTGCAGGTTGCCAATATTGTCTTCGTTGTATTCACCCTTACTACGTCCTTTGCCAGAAGATTCAACCCATGAGCAAGACAGCCAAATACTATTAAATGAAGATAATTTGCCTTTAATATGTGCTATGCAGCCCTCATGTTACTCGCATTATCAGGGCTGAAGGGACCTGCACTTTCAAACTCTTCACTCAGTAATTTGGCTATGTATTCACCTGTATGATGAGAAGATTTAGTAGCAACTGCTTTTGGGAATATTGGTTCAGGTGTTGATAACATAATGTTAAATAAAGGATTTCCTTGCATATCAGTCCATCCATCTGACAGCAGAGTCAGTGATTCTACTTGACCAATCCTTTGGATATAACCATTGTTTGAACTCTGTCATACTCTCTCTCTCAGAGAGAATGTGATAAGTGATAATTTATATGATGGGCAAATTAGTCTGTAATGTTCCTTCCAGTATTAATTTTCAGTTATGGAAAGAGGGTGTAGCATTTGCAAATATAGTTCAAGCTAATGTCTCATCTGCTTTTTCTTGATCTTCTCTTGACATTTTGTCCACAAAGACTGATAAAAAAATTTGACTGTCTTGAACAACTACTCAAGGTGCATCACATATCTGGTGACAGTGAACTTGAAAGCAAGGATCCTGCTTCTTCTTCCCCCAGACCTGGCATCTCAACATTTCATTTTCCATTTTTTGCAAATCTGTTATTTCACTTGAGCTACCAAGTTCCTGCGACAAAAGGGGGAAAAGATATTTATTTTAGTCTATTCTAGTCTGGCCTCATGGAGAAGAAGGAGAAGCGGCAGGGAGCTTGCTTCCTCCCTCCCTGCCAGAAAGAACACTCTACTGCTCAACTTGCTGGTCAGTTGCCCTGGGACTGCAAAGCCAAAGGGAAGTATAGTCTGGTCTCCGCCATCAGCCGGAGGACCAAGTTCACTCTGCTCGGTTGAAATAGTTAACTATTTATCTACTATGTAATTAAAAAAAATTAAGCCAAAGCCACTTTGGGTGCTTAGTGCAAGCAGAAAAGCAGGATACAAATATTTTAAATAAAGTAGGCCTCGCTGTCACACAGGTGCCTCATCTCCTGGCCCTGGATCATGAGGATGGAGTCCAGGACGTGGCTCTTCTGCCTGCCATCGATGTGCAGGGAGATGCACTTGGTGATGTTGAAGCACAGGCCCATCCACCTGGCTGCCTCTGACCCCTTGGTCCTCTGCCACCTGGGCTGCTCTGACCGGGCTCCATGTGCTGAGAATGAAAACTCTGGAGCAATAGTTTTTTGCTCCTACAAACACATTCTAATTGTGTGCCCAGGAGTAAAATACTCCACAGCAATAAGCTCTGGAGTTTATTTGTGAGCATTAACTGCAGGTGTACATTGCTCCACTATGGCCAGCATGGCAAACAACACGCTGGCATGCATCAACCGATACATCTCGTGTAAAACTAAGGAAGTGATACTCCTGCTGTACTCAGCGCTGGTGAGACTGGTGAGACCACAGTTGGAGTACTGCATCCAGTTCAATAAGGATGTGGAAAAACTTGAGAGGGTCCAGAGAAGAGCCACCTGTATGATCACGGACTTGCAAGGCAAGCCATACAAAGAAAGGCTGAGGGACTTAAGCCTCTTTAGCCTAAAGAAGAGAAGGTTGAGAGGGGACTTGATAACAGCTTACCACTATATCAGAGGGTGTATCAGGAGCTCGGTGAACAACTGTTCACTAGGGCACCCCTGGGGAAGACCAGGACTAATGGATATAAACTGGAAGGCTGCTTCAGGCTTAATACCAGTAAAAACTCCTTCATAGTCAGGGTGACTGTGGAATAAATTCCCTCCAGAGGTGGAGCAGTCACTGACCCTGGAGGTTTTCAAGAGGAGACTGGACAGTCATCTTGCTGGGGTCACTTGACTCCAGTTGTATTCCTGCCTAGAGCGGGGCAGGGCGGGGGCTGGACCTGATGATCTGCAAGGTCCCTTCCAGCCCCATACAATCTATGAAACAATGTCTGGAAACATTATTCACAACTTGTCTTCATATGTCCCCTCTTGATATCAAGCAATAACAGGATAGCTCTTTTCCAGCACAGCAGGATGGAGACTTTAACTGTTGGCTCACTTCTCTAAACTACAGGAACTGGCCTTAATTTTTTTTTAACGACAGACTTATGGCTCCTCTTGAAAGCAGTTCTTCAGGTATTGGAGAATAGCCTGCATATTTAACTTGTTAGAAATCAGAATAACAGACTGTTATGTTCCTACTGTTACACAACAATTGCATTCTCTACACAGTTCATAGCAGGAATCCTTAAATGTGTTAATAACCCCCAGTAAAAAGAGTCTTTGATAAGAATCAGCTAGAGCTAAAAAGTTTTCTTGAGTGTCTAGTTAGGAGGTGTAATTTTACCTAGTTCTCATGTCAGTCACTTTGATACATTTTTATCCCGTTTTTTTCTTATAATCTTACCATTATATTTTAATGAAATTAACTAGGTAATACGTATTTGTGTACATAAGCATAGACTGAAAATAATATAGTATTATATAAATGTCTCTTTTGCTGTTTCAGTCTGCCATTCATTCATTCTCTCTTCTTCACACGCACCAGTTCATCAAAAAGATTTTTACAAAACTGTTTTCTACACAGTGCCAAAACTTTATACTGTGTTCTCATTAAATGTGTAAACTTGTATCATGAAAGAAGAGTTACAGTAAGTTACAATGCATAAACAAAACTGATTAGGTAATTCTTGGGAAAATATTGGCAATAAAAACTATAAGAGAATACTTAACCCTTTTTGCACCCCAAAATAATATTTTTCATTTTCTTTGAGATGGAACCTGTTGTTAGGTGTTGTCAAGCAAACCACCAACTATAAATATAATTAAACTAACTGTACTCTTGAACAAGTAAGTGTTCTAATGTAACATGCTGGTTGATAGCATCACAATTTTCAGAGTTCAAAGCAAAAATTGGTATAGGAGTAGTTGTTTTTTCCCCCAGTAAAACACAGGAACCATTGGCTTTTAAGTGTAGTGAAAAACAGCAATTTAGGACATCTTAGTTAATTAACTGATAATGATATAGCTATACCTGCAACACAAATACTTCAACTATTGGTACCATTACAAGGAACAGAAGTGAAAGAACAGATTTGAATGAGGTATAAATTTGATTCAGCGTATCTTTCAGCAATACTGTAAGAAATAAAAATGCAGACTAGCCACTGAGAGATAATACAATGAAAAAAGCAAGCTCCTGACGGCATTCATCAACTATACTGCCTTCACCCTTCAGGTGTTTATCTAGAACAAATATTCAGTGAGAAAACATTTTCCAGTCTGGGTACCCATTGTTAGTATCAAGCAATTCTGGAGGTATGGGAACATTTCTGAAACAGAATTTCCTATGTATTTTCAAAATACCATAACATATAACACCACCTTTTCTGATTTTTTTCCAATTTTCCAGAAAACTCACATGGGAGATGTGCTACACATCACTTCAAGGAGGTCGATTAATTTGTTGTAAATTTAAGTGTGGAATTAAAATGGGGATTATAATGGGAAATTAATATCAATCTTAAATGCTGTTAGTGACACAATTACTGTAATTGTAGAGATTTGTAAAATATTGTATTTAGTAGTATGAAAAGTCTAGTAATCCTCCTTTGCTTCTGTTGCCTTTATTCTCTATCAATAATCCCAGAAGATATAAGTACTTTGGCTAAAGAAAGAGAATGGTATTCAGAATTAGCAACTGAACCGATGAGTTTATTGGGTTATCTTTCTGTTATTGAATTAGCTGACTGATCTTTCAACCTCAGTCTACCTGTGTGCAGAAAAGTTGTACTATATTTACCCACTTTTCAGGAAGATTATGAACCTGTGTATTTTATGGCATGCTGACATTCTTAGATAAATGCAATGCTGGTTTAATCCTGATGTCAGTGTAGTCAAAACCTCACTGATATCAGCTTCCTTACCTCCCAAGGTCATCAGTTAATATGCCTAATTTTGCTCCAGTTGATGTCAACTGGAGCAAAATTAAGCCTGTTAGTTGATGGTCTAAGAAGACAAGGTATGGAAATTAATAACAAAGTAAAACATTTAAATCTACTGACTGTTTTCTGCTATACAAGGTCTACAAATAAGTTGTGTAGATAACTACTTCCACACTTGCAATTTATAACAGATTTGTAAAATTATTAATTTACAAGCACTGTATTCCTTTATAATCTCAGGGGATGATCTGACTAAGTGTCACTTAAATTAGAAAAGCATTTACCTGAAAGGCAGGTCTGCAATGTCACTCAGGATCTACTCCAGACAATGAGGGAGATAAACAAACAAACAAACAAGGGGACAGTTAACCTTTCTACTGCAGATCTTTGTTTTATTAGCATTGTTCATCTTGAATTAATTAAAACCTGAAAACTCTACTATACTCATCTGGGAACTAAATATCTCAAACTGTGTTCAACTCAAATTTCTAATTTAACAGATTGTTTTTGGTTGTTTTGGAAAAGTTCACCAACAAAACCTACATGATCCTTATCCACATCATGCATTTTTAAATGGATGAACTGTCAAAAGAATTTATCATATGATATATATGATATGACATATTTGGAAGATATTTCACTTAGATATGAACTTTAAATGTTACCTATTATTTTCTGTGAAATGACAAGTTAACAATTATAAATATTTAAAGTTTGAAGATTAAAAATCTAAACTTCTTTGGAATAATCACTCTCTGGAAGATAAAAATGTATATTTCCAATAATATAAGTAATGAGCATTTAATAATAAAATAAAAAGCATTTGATTTGATTAAGGTGGATCACTGAATGAAGAAAAGGAAAATATAGAGTGGAGAAAAAACGTGCATACTTTCTTTTTAAAAAATAGAAACCCTGTGAACAGGCAGATTAATTTGTTATTCATTAAGCATTACTTGTGGTATATCAGTGGAAGTCCATGTTGCTTTACTTTGCTTCTTAGATTTGATGCTATTGCTCAAGCTCAACTACCTTAATAACTGCATGACTTCAAAAAACCAAAAGTAGTACAACTGTAACAGGAACTAGCATACTGCAGCTAATATATCTCAGCACTGCCCTACCTGAGCTCACTGCCACTTCCCAATATTCCTCTACCTCATATACCACTGCAGCTCATATTCTACCTTTGATCTAATGATGTTCAGAGTATTGTTGCTGAAGCACGTGAAGTCTCTAAATCTATGAGTAGAAACAGAACTCTATTCCTGAGCTTTGGAAGGATTATGAATAGGGACACGCTTCTGCCAACAAAAATGCTAAAGCAGAGCCAGAGACCTCAAAAAAGTGCCAGGTGCTGCTCAAAATGTAGCCTTTTACAGGCCATGCAGAAAACTGCAGTAGGTTCCTACTCTTTGCTTCTTTGACCATCCTCTTTCAGATGGAGGAACGTGTTAGCACTGCAGCTGCCAAGTCATCAGGGAAAGAATGTTAATTATTTTTCCCATTGTTCTCCACTGTTACTGCAAAATAACCACCCCCACCCCCACCACCCCAAAATAAAAACCTCAAGCCAAACAAGTCCTAAATTAAGAAAATGGATACAGACAAGACTATGATAAAAAACCCTGCAAAAGGACTTGGACAGCAGATGTATTGCACGAGATGGACACAGATACAACTCAAGTGATTCCTGTTAATCTTTCCAAATATAGCTCATGCATATTAGATTATAAGATTATTAGATACCTCATGCATATTAGATTATCAGATAGTCATCCCAAGAATCTAGAGAAAGTACCTTACTGAGACCAGTACATGAAAGAACATGGATGGATCTAGAATTTTGAAAAGAGGGTTGTAGATGGTGCAGTGCATTATCACATATAAAACAATAGTTAAAAATAAGTCAGAAGCTTTACTAATATACTAAGGGCCTAGGGCTGTATTATTCAGTTTAAGATTGAAGCAGAAACAAATATAACTTCATTGGAATGAGTTGAAAACAATCTACAGGGCTGTGAAATAGGAGCTTCATTACCAGGAGCAGGTAAGAAACAGAACTACAGAACAAAGGATTGGTGGAACCTTAAGACCATTAAAAAGAAAAGGGTCATTAACACTTGTGGAATGAAAAGTTTAGAAGGGATCAGGTAGATTCTAATAAGACAAAGTCAGCTGACTCCTTCAGCACTCTCTCAGAAGCTGCCACTGCCACTGCCAGGCATGTGGTTTCAAACACGTGCCACTGCCAGGCACGTGGTTTCAAACTTTGGGTGCAGCAGAAATCAAAGGGGGAGAGGAGTGTAAGCATACCGGAGCACCCCTACTGGATCCACCCCCGAGCAAGAATAGTGTATGCTATTTTATAACTGATTTTCATAATCAGGTCAATCATAATCATTTATTGTACTGCAATCTCTCCTAAAATATTAGGCATATGCACAGGACTATAATGCACAACAACTAAATTTTGAGATGTTAGGTAAAGAGAAGTTTTCTTCAGTTCATTATTTTTCCTGGAGTTTCCACTGGATGTGCTCAAAGTGAGAAGCAGTTGTTTTAGTAGCAATCAGAAAATTCCTCCTGTTTGATGTCTAGTGAAATTATAATTAATTCACTTCAGTAAACATGCCTAACACTGGAGCTCTAGCCCTGCACAGGCTGTGTAAACTTCTGCATTTATACAAGCCCTCTTCAGGAAGACACAGATTTCGTACACATTAGGGCTGGAAGGGACCTTGGAAGATCATTGAGTCCAGCCCCCTGCCCAAGGGGCAGGAAGTCAGCTGGGGTCATAGGATCCCAGCAAGATAAGCATCCAAATTTCTCTTGAAGGTGTTCAATGTAGGTGCTTGAACCACCTCTGATGGCAGGCTATTCCAGACCTTGGGGACTTGGACAGTAGGCTATTCCAGACTTTGGAGGACATGGAAAATCAGGCATAGATTTGCATCCTTGTCAGTGGTTACTCAAGCTGAAAAATTTTAAATGATCTAGTTTAGATCAGAAATTACTGAAGATAAAAATATCTGTACTACAGAATCACAGAATAATTAAAATTAGGGTTGGAAGGGGCCTCAGGAGGTCGAGTCCAAACCCTTGCTCAGAGCAGGACCATCCCCAACTAGATCATCCCAGCTAAGGCTTTGTCTAGCCGGGTCTTAAAAACAGCAAAAGAATAGAGATTTCACCATCTCTCTGGGTAACCCATTCCAGTACTTTACCACCCCTCTAGTGAGAAAATTCTTCCTAATATTCAACATAAACTTCCCTTGCTGCAACTTCTTCTGTCATCTGCCATCACTGAGAACAGTCTAGCTCAGAGGCAAGCAAAATACAGCCTCAGGCCATGTCCACCCTGCCAAGCACTTTCATCCAGCCTGCAGTGTTCACCAATAAATTGTACCCTGCCCAGCCCTTCCACCCATGAGGGTGGGAGCAAGGCACCCACATATACACAGCTCCAGCCAACATACCCTATTGTGGGCGGAAGGGCCTGGCCCAGTCAGCATGCAGCTTCTGGGTGGGACTGCTGCTGCTACACTGCTGCAGCCGCTGGGGGGGATGTGCTCGAATTTCTCAGTGTCTCACTTGCTCTGGGCACCAGGTAGGGAAGCAGCAAGGGTGGGAGACACAGCTGCAGCTGGGTGGAAGCGCAGAGCATGGAGCTGGGGCTAGCAGCAGCACAGAGCCCGCACCCAGGGGGGCGGCAACAGCGTGAAACTCAGGTGGGCAGGGTGTGGGTGTGAGGGAGAGTGGGGGTGTGTGGAGACCCCCGCCACCCATCTATTGTGCACAGCCCTGTCAGGCAGCAGCAACAGAAGGTGGGGGTGCTGAATATTTGGATGGTTTGTTCCTGCACTCTCAGTAAGGTTTTTTTAAAATACAGCTAGCTCTCATGGACTTATTTCCCTCTCAGGCTGGCCTCCCAGGGGATTCTGCCTGTAAGTTCTCTAAGTGAGTTGAAGCCTGCTTTTCTGAAGTCCAAGGTCTGTACTCTGCTGCTCTCCTTTCTTCCTTCCCTCAGATCCTGAATTCAATCATCTTATGGTTGCCACTGCCCAATTTGCCATCCATTGCTACATTCTCCACAAATACTTCTCTGTTTGTGAGCAGCAGGTCAAGAAGAGCTTGGCCCCTAGTTGGCCTCTCCAGCACTTGCACCAGCAAGTTGTCCCTAACACTCTCCAAAAACTTCCTGAATTGCCTGGTCTATGGTCCAATTTTTTTAACAGAAATATTCCAGCATGCCCTGACGCTGGTACAGGAAAGGTCATGCATACTCCATGAAGCAAAGGGTACTGGCACAGGTCGTGTGCTGCGTGTGGCAATCCACAAGACCAGCCTTTTATGCTGGTCTGCATGGCCTGATCCAAACCAGCTCTGGAGTCAGTGCACAGAGCCAATCCAGAAGAGCGCAACATGCAGCCCCACATCCCAGACTGACTCCCTGTGCTGTGTGCAAGATGCACGGTGCCAGGTCCAGGCCACAAACCACACAGCACACACAGCTGGGCCCAGTGGGTGGTGTCAGTCTAGTGACCCACAGGCCAAGTCCACAGCCTGGATCTAGCCCCTGGGCCATATGTTTGACACCCCTGATCCAGAGAAATTAAAAACAAGGGCAATAATAGAAAATCTAAAACCACCCCAAGAACAGCATATAAAACAAAGCAAAAAGAACAGATAGGAAAGAAATGAGTTCAGGATGGGATTAATATAAAAGTACATTATACAAATCACTATAACAATATCTCTTAAAATCTCAAAAGTATACAAAATAAGTTTTCAGGTATGCTCAGTCACGGCTGAGAAATCATGCATACGACCAGTTCAAGATCATTATACTAACAGGAAGGATTTAAAAAACAAACAAACATTGCCAGGCTCTTGAGGACTTAATTCACTGGCTTAATTCAGCACAAGGTGGCAAAGGCAAGCAGTCAGGTGGTGGCCCTAGACTTTAGGAGGGCGAACTTCAACGAGCTAAGGAGGATAGTTGGAGAAGC